CCTGGAAGGATTTGCATGCTGGGAATGAAACTGAAAGAGCAAATGGGACTCATTTCTCTTAATATGTGACCTGATCCTAAAGACTTGCTAAGGTTGTAAGTTGTGTCACTTCAGCAGGCCTCATAGCATTGCCAAAAAGAGAGTGTATTTTAACTATGGTTATTTCTTCTTCCTTCACAATCTGAGACTCTCAACTTTAGTTTATTAAACATTTCTGTTTGCCTGAAAGAGAGTTTTCCTTATTCAGAGGCTGACAGGGCTTTGCATCAAGGCATCTTCCCCTCAGAGCTATGCTAAGACATGGGCCTGTCCTGCTGACCCACAGATTCTAACAATTGTCCTCTGTTTCAGCCGTCCCAGAAGGATGGGGTAGTGCAGGATTTTGCTATTGTGAACAAAAGCCAGCACAGCAAAAGAACCAAACGGAAGTGAAAACCTGAAAACCTGCGGGTGGAAAGAAGAAAAAGAATAAGGGCGCAGAGGTTGGTCACAGACCAGTTTTTCCTCAGACCTTCCTTTCCTGTCAGTGCTTCTCCCTCTGTTCCTCCCACTCCCCTCCCCTCCAACCTCATAATCCTTCAACCAACTGTCTATTCCTGGCTTAATCCGACTGCAGCTGGCCAGCCTCGTGCAACTTCGGCTCCTTCCCCCACCTATAAATAAGGTTTCCAACTGGCTAGATGGGGTGTGGGAATCTGAAACAGAGCTTGATCTCCTGAAAGCGGACAATGAAGAGTTTTGAGGCCTGAAGATAAGTAGGGTGATCCTTTTTACGTCCTGAAGATCTAACTCAAGATCTTGGAAATCTGTGATCTAGAGATCAGAGAATATAAACACAACTCCTTTTGGGGGTGGACTACAACTCCCAGAATACCTCATCCTGGCTGGGAGACGTTGGTAACTGTTATTCCAAAAGAAAACTCTCCAAGATCTTGAACTGCTGTTCAAGGCAAAGTTGTCAGTCTTGTCCATGAGTGACTGAATTTGATCCAGTTTATTTCTATTTAGTTTCATTAATTTTAGGAAGTCCCGGTCATGCCATTATGAAAGGGCAATTGTCTGGGCCCCCAAATTGCACCAGGGCTAGTGTATGTGTATTGCAAGGAGTCAAATAATATTTGTTATTATCCAAAGAAGGAGGGGTTGCAAAATCATGAAGTTGAGAATATACAATTAGCTGAATACAATAGAGGAGAGCCCCCAGAGTAATGGTCCATCCATTTTTGTTTTCTCTGATCTCCTCTGGATTAGGGAAGAAAAATACTTTTTTTTGGAATACTAGAAATCCCCAAATATAATACTGCTCCACATACGTAGCATGTGAATGTACAGCTGGAAAAGTGTGCACATTGCTGCCTTATTTTAGGTCAGCCTGGTGGACATGGTGGCGCTGTGGGCTAAACCGCAGAAGCCTGTCCGGCAGGGTCAGAAGACCAGCAGTTGTAAGATCAAATCCATGCTCCCGTCGCTCTGTCCCAGCTCCGCACCAACCTAGCAGTTCGAAAGCATGCAAATGCAAGTAGATAAATAGGTACCACCTCGGTGGGAAGGTAAAACGGCGTTCCCTAGTCACGCTGGCCATGTGGCACCGGAAACTGTCTTAGGACAAGCGCTGGCTCTACGGCTTGAAAACGGGATGAGCACCGCCTCCTAGAGTCGGACACGACTGGACTAAAAATGTCAAGGGGAACCTTTAACTTTATGTTATTTATCAGCCTAAATCAGAGGTGGCCCAAGTATGGCCCTCCAGATGGTGGTAGACTACAATTTCCATCATCCTTCGCCATATCCAAGGGTGAGAAACGTTGGCAACTGCAGTTCAACGATCTCTGAAGGGACACACTTTCCCTGTCCCTGATCTGTACTGTGGATGAGTAGCCTCCAGGTATTGGTGGACCACACCTCCCATCAGGCCTGATCATGGGCTTTTGTTGCTCCTGCTGTTGAATCCAGCAAATCTGAGGACACAGATGTCCCACTCCTGGAATAGCCTGATTTGTTAGATGACCTGGCTGTCCTTTTTTGTGATGGAAAGGTGGAATAAACATATTTTATTGATGCAGTAATGGGGTATAGATAAAATGCTGTCCTAGACTGATGGGCTTAGAAGGAGATCATACAGGCATGGGGGAAAATAGAAAATAAGTTGATGAATGAAGAGAATGGAGAGGAAGAAGACTGATCCCATCTTCACGCACAGATCATGTTCTGTTCCAAACCATGCTTGGTTTCATATATAATATTTATATTTATATATTTACACAAGAACAAGGTATTTATTCCAATTGTTTTTGGGGGGTTATCCAAGGAAGGAGGTTACACGTACAGGGTGAACGCCAGACGGACCAACCAACCCACGGATGGCTCTATGGAGGGGAGGCAAAGGGGAGGAGAAAGAGAAACTCAGGGAGAGGGGTCAGGTCTCCATAGCTTGGAAGTTGGACACCACCGGTCTGTCACAGTTGTTGGAATGGACTGTCATGAGACTGGAGGAAATGAAGCTGTAGAACTAGTGGGGTGCTCTGGATCATCTCAAACCATTGCTGATTTCCAACATAAAACTTCTCCTGTCTGTGTAGTAGTCATTAGAAACCACCAGTTCTGCCAAATGCATCACCATCATCATCAATTTGCTGAACAGTGCAGAGTGCATGGCAATCCTATTTTGCCCTTGTGAGGTATGCCACTATACTTTCCCCCCTTTCTTTTTACAGGTAAGAGGCCTGAACAGCTGAGGCCTACTTTATGGAAAGGTTCTTAAGATCACCCCTGGCCCCTCAGATCCAAAAGCTGACAAGGAAAATGGCTGACAAGGACAATGGCTCCCAACCTTGGGCTCACATATGTTTTTGGACTAAAATTCCCAGAAGCCTTCACCACTAGTTTTGCTGGCCAGGATTTCTGGGAATCCAAAAACATCTGGTGACCCATCTTGGGAACCATTGGTCACAGAGATCCCAGGAACCATAATCCAAAATACTTTTCCAAGCTCTGTCCTAAAGCATTATTGTAATGTCTTTTGAGTAATGCTGGTTTTACATTATGGGGCAAACCCCCAAAGCTGCATTCCCTCTAGAATAGTTACCAATCAGGCATCATTTCCCAGGGTTCTTCCAAAACCACCACCAATAAAGCTACACTTGGTTAACAATCAGACACAGCGGTGTGGGAAACTTTTGACTCGCTATAGTTGTTTTGCACCCATAATCCCTTAGTATTGGCCATGTTGGCTGGGGCTCCTGGGAGTTATAGTGAACAAATATCTGGAAGACCAAAGGTCCTGGTCAAGCAGCTTTACACTTTGTAGTTTTGCTACAGGGAATTTTTTAAAAAAAGTTTTTACTTACATCCAAAACTACATTTGAAGTTCTTCAAATAAGATTGTGTAGCTTGTCCAAGGTTACACAGGTTAGCTCTTCTCGGGGGGTGGGGTGGGGCACAGTGAAGAATTGAACTCTGAATCTCTGGCTCCACAGCCAGGTACCCAAGTCACTTCACTAGCCTATATTTTAATTTCTTGTGTTCAAATTGGCCTTCCTCAACCTGGTGCCCGGTAGATGCATTGGACTAGAAATACTACCATGCTGATTCTAGCATGTTAAATCAATACCTATGAAAAGGGTACATAGGTTGGAGGAAGCTGATTTAAAGCAATTTGAAGCAGTGGTGGCTGGTGACTCCAGTTCTGGAGATCCTGCAAATCCCCTCTTTGTTTTCATCTTCTGTTCAGAGGAATTATCAAATTGCTGATTTTATTAGGAGCAAAGTGTTCAGCACGGTAGATGGCTCATTTCACAAATTAAAACCTGGAGAGGATTCATAGGATCCCCTTAAACTGGACTCACCAGCTCCCACTCCTTTGCAGTGTTGTCAGTTCAGAAGTGTTATAAACCCTAAGGAGGCTAGGCCTTTGAGAAGGTGGTGTGGAATGATGGTGACATATTTTGGAGTCAAGGAAGGAGCTCCTGAAACTACCACTGATGAATGTTTCAGCTCACTTGAACTGCACCATTTGCAGTGTAAAAATCTTAGTGCATGCTGAAATAGCTGTGAGTATTTTGAAGAGAGGCAAAATACATGGAGACTGTTTTTTAGCACAAGGGTAAAATGGTCACCTTCAGTCCTGCTTCTCTCCTATTTCATACAGGGTGGTTGCTCGTTTTTGGGTTGAGGCATCTGATAGTCTAACTTTTATGGATTAAAGCTCCCCAGCTACATTTTTTTTTTACGGGGTGGGGGGGGAGTTTGATTTTGTTCTGAGACAGTGCCACACTGTATGTTATAAACTTTGAGCTGACACCATGTTAGCATGCCAGTGATGTGATTTGTGTAGATATGCATGTCTGAGAAATCAGATATCAGAGCCAGGAGAATGTTTATCACCTAAAGATCAACCACAAAACAAAGCAAGCTAATTTGTAAACCACACAGATATTGAGAAAAACTTCTTCTCTGACAGTCAGCAATCAAGAAATTCCTTCTTCTAGGGCCCTGAGTATACAAGACCTGACAGGCATATGATAGGGCCTCTTGGAGGTCACAGATATACAGTGGTGCCTCGCATAGGGACGATAATCAGTGCAGCAAAAATCGCTGCAAAGCGATTTCGTCGCTATGCGATTTTAAAAAGCCCATAGGAATGCATTGTAACTCCTTCAATGTGTTCCTATGGGCTTCAGACTCACTTTTAAACGAAAATCCTCCATAGGGCGGCCATTTTCGCTGCCCGGTAAGTGAGGAATCCGTCCCAAAAAACAGCGGGCGGCCATTTTTTTTACCCGGCGGCCATTTTGGAACCACCAATCAGCTGTTAAAAATAATCGCTTTGCGATTATCGGTAAGCGAAACAGGGTACCGATCATCACAAAGCGATTTTTGCCCATTTAAAACATCGCAATGCGATCGCTTTTGCGATCGCAAAATCTTCATCGCTATGTGATTTCGTCGTTAAACGGGGCACCCGTTAAGCAAGGCACCACTGTAGGAGTTTTGGACTGCATAGAATTTGGCGGCCTGTAACAACAATAAAAGAACCATTTATCTGTGACTTACCTACCTTTCAGCCAAAATGGAGGGCCCTGAGGCATGATCTAAGGCAGAGGTGAGTAACTTGTGACTTTCAGATGCTGCTTTGTCCACAGTTCCAATCCAACCATCCTCCATCATCAGTTATGCTGATTAGGGCAGATGGGAGATGTAGTCCAGCAGCATCTGGAGGACCACAATTTGCTCTCCACTGGTCTATGGAGATGCAGCTGTGAGATGCAAGACAGCACTACCTACAGAGTAACATAACTCCTTTCTTCTTTCCAGATGGGGAAGAAGCCAGTGGGGAAAAGAAGACTGAACATATAAAGCTATTTAATGTGGTCAGGTCATTGGTCCATCGAACCTAGGACTGCCTACTTTCAGGGTTGGACACCTGTGTCGTTGGACTACAACTCCCATCAGCCCTCACTACTGGGAATGTTAGTGGAACCAAACGGGAGTTGCAGTTCACCAACCTTTGATGGCCCACATGTTCCGCAGTCCTGGTCTACACTGGCAGGCTGTAGCCTTCCAAGGCCTCGGGCAGACTCATCTTCAGATCTAACAAGACGAAGCTAAAGACTAAATATGGAACATGACACGAACAAAGCCGGGGTTGGCTCTTGGAGAGAATGGAAGGTGTACCACCCCCCCCCCAAAAGGATGGGGCGGTTGGGGCTGCAGTTCAGCAACCCTCTCGCTATGGCTTCTAGTCATGAGTCACCCATGAGCAAAGCTGCCACTGAGCTATGCTTCACCAGGTCTCTGAGTTAAGGGAGGCCCAAGTAGTACATTACAGTGTTGTTGCCATGGGTCCAGAGCTATTCACAGTGTGGAAAGGGACAGGTCGGAGGGGGGGGGCGTGCCTATTTGTAGAATTTACTCCCACCCTCTTGTTTGGGGGTGCGGAAGCTAGAGCTAGAATGCCCTGAACAGGCTGGCGGGTAAGGTTGAGTGGTGAACAGGGTGTGAAGCTTGGTTGTCATCCCACAGCAACACGCCGAGGCCTATGCAGAAAGGGAGGATGATCTGGAACATGTGCTCTTGTGCTTGTTACCAAGGCGCGAGGGAGTGGGCAGTTTTCGGTGGGTCCAGACAGTTGTACCATTGCACCAGAAATAAGGATGAGGTGGGAGGAAAGGAGGAGGCGCTAAAGTGAAGGGTGTGGGGCGAGAAGTCACCCAAAATGTAGGCCTTTCCCTCCCCCTCACTCCAATGGATTGAACCAAGGCCTCAGCATCCCATAAAGGTGGAGGGATGGGTGCCTCTATGATAAGTCCCGCTCTCCTGGCGTGCCGTACATGTAGGAATCTTTGCCAGGCTCTTGTACATATTCCTCCTTCTTGTCCCAGTCGGCCGTCCAGCCTCCATTAGCAAAACTGGTGCTTTTGGTGGCACCGTACCCACCTCCTCCTCCTCCACCCCCTCCAGCTGCCATCCGGGCAGCTTCGTCCTCCTCATCAGCCAGTTCGTCTTCGTTGATAAAGCCACACTTCTCCTCACTCATTTCTTCCGGCTCAGCCCACGGCTGCTTCTCCCCAGAGGCAAAAATCCCATAGAAGATAACGCCACCATAATGCACCAGTGAGGCTATGAGGAAAACATACTGCCACTCCTCCCGTGTCTGTGGAAAAAGAGAAGGTGGAATGGTGGAAAATTCAGAAGAAAAGATATGAAGGCATCTTACTCAGACACCTGTTCTGAACAATACAAATCGCCTTGACACAGAGATGGCCTCTTCAGAGTTTGTTAACTGCCACAGAATTTCTTGCCTCCAACACAAAAATGAGATGAGCGCTTTTTCCTCCTGATGGAGTTCCAGAAATTGTCTTTGTGCAAAAGTAGTGCCTTTTCTTTTGGTGAAGCAAAGCACACCCATACAGGAAGCACAGAAGTTGATTTATTAAAAGGATACAAATAATCTATTCAGCGCTTCCAATATTTTTTTTAAGGGCAGAGCTATCCTAGTTTAGTGGCATACTCCACTGGTTCTTAACCTTGGGTTAATCAGGAGTTTTGGACTGCAACTCCCAGAAGCCTTCACCACCAACTGTGCTGGCTGGGGTTTCTGGGAGTTGCAGTTCAAAAACATCCGAGTAACAAAGGTTAAGAACCACTGCTCTAGGCCAGTGGCTCCCAGCTTTGGATCACTGAGGTGTTCCTGGACTGCAACTCCCAGAAACCCCAGCCAGCACAGCTGGTAGTGAAGGTTTCTGGGGATTGCAGTCCAAGAATATATGGGTGACCCAAAGTTGGGAACCTCTGGCCTAGGCAATGTCTGTGCCAATTATGCAAAAATAGTTCCAGCAAATGAAAAAAAAAACTCTCATCAAAGCTGACATTAAAGACCTTGCTATCTCACAGACAAGGAATTTTAAAAATGAGGTACTGTATTCTCTCATTTGAGAACACATCAAACTAGGATTTACATCTGTATTGAGAACTTTGTTAAGAAAAGTAGTCTAGGGGCCCTGATTCATCCCCTCAAAAGCCTAATTATTGGCTTGTGTAGATCAGGCAAGAATATTGTGGAGATTTCTTCTACAATTCCATAGTTCACAGACTGGGGAAAGGCCAAGAAAACATTTCATTTTTTCTCCTGCTCTAGGATGCTTATCCATTTAATCTGAAGCAAGTTCAGAGGAGGGCAACATGGATGATCAGGGGGCTGCCTAGCATGTTTAGGATTCTCAGGGCACGTTTAGCCTTGAGAAAAGAAGACTGGGGGGAGATATGATAGCATTTTTCAAACACTCGGAAGATTATCACACAGAGGAGGGACAGTATCAGATTGCAGGACATGTAATACAGTAATGGTGTAATAATGGGCTCAAGCTACATTTAGGCTGAATATCAGGAAAAACTTCTTAACTGTTAGAGGAGTACAACAATGGAACCAATTACCTCAGGAGGTGGTAAGCCCTCTTAATGCTGGAGGCATTCAAGAGAAAATTGGATAGCCATCTGTCTGATCTGCTTTGATTTGGATTCTTGCATTGAGCAGCCGGGTCAGACATGATGGCCTTATACTGTAAGCCCTTTCCAACTCAATTATTCTATTATTCATTCTCCAGAAACACTTTAATAAACTATCATTTGCCTAATAATGATCCCATTTTTCAGTATGCTGATCATTATACAGCCCAAATGGCATCACCCATGCACATGAGGAAACCTATTCAGATGTTTGAGACAGAAAAGAGTTACATGGGAACTGGGCATTTACAGTGACTGCAGAACATAGAATATCTGAAGGGAAGGATCTGTCTGGTTAGCTTAAACCCTAAACAGGAGTGTTCCATATAGCCACAGTTTGATGCAGTTGGATCCACCTAATATATAGTAACTATTAAATAAATATAATAAATATATAAATAGAGGCCAGTGCCTGGTATTAGATGAGAATGCAGACTGTTACAGAGGGAATGTCAGAAACAGCTATAATCAATGGGATATACTTATCCTTCAATATGAAATTTAGAGAAAGAGAAGTGTAGACTGGCAAGCGTGAACTCTACAGGACACAGAGGATACTGGCTGGAATAAAATCAGAAATCTGAGGGGGAACAAATTCAATCAATAACCACTTTGAGCTGAAATGCCAGCCCAAAAATGGAATATTGTACCGAGAACATAGAATCACTTGCACTCTACAAGGAAAGCCTCTTTAGAGAAAGAAAACACGATTGGCTTTGACAGTCAATGGACCCTCCATGTATCAAGGCAGTGTATCTCTCAATAAACAAAGCAAAAGGCGAGGCTGGGTTATATTTTGACCTTCAGTGTAATTGTGAGAGCAGGGCCTGTCCTGTATTCCTAGACTACCTCTCATTTCTAAACAGCTTTAGCAACACTTCAGTGTGAGGCTGTCAGCATTACATGCTTTTGGTGATGGGAATCGTAGCTGCCCTTACACAGAGAGAGGTGGGGGTGGGAGGAAAGGGCCATATAAGCCACATTCATCAAACACAAAATAAATGGTAATTACAACCTCATACGTCCATTTCTGTGGTCCTCCATTCCACTTCATCCACTCATACCTGCTTCAGCCAGCTACCACTCCATACCCGTTGAGCAGGCTCGTTAGGCTGTTTTGATCTATTCCTCCTTATTTTCTATAGCGTTTATACAGGGTGCAGCCAAAAAGAAAAAAACCTGCATTTCACTCAGCTATTGAGCCAGCGTTAGTGAAGTGGGGTGGCTCATAATGGGGGTAGATCTTTCGGTAGCATATGTCTTAATGTTTTTAGTTGGCACCGTGACTTGGATGAGTATGCGCCATGTGTTTTTCACTGAAACATTTATGAAAAACAACTACTGTAATCTGTTATTGCGACGCAGAGAGCTTTTTGTGTCTAAGCTGAACTTGGTCAATATGCTTCTGTTCTGGACCAACAGACCATAGTGCTATGGGTTGAAAATTTCCAGGCCACAGGTTCGACAGCAGAGCCACTTCGACCCGCCCCACTTCACTAGTGTTGGAGCAATAGCTAAGCGAAATCTGAGTGGTTTTTATTGCCGCACCTTGTACTTTGGGTGTCCCCCATGCTTGTAGGTGCCTCAATGTTCAAATACAGAAGATACTACAGTATTTTACTTATACAAGAAACAGTACTCAGAGAACTGGAGAAGGGGACAGAGAGAGATGGAGAGATCAGGACAATAATTCCCTCCCTTCCAGGAGTTTCTCTTTCCTACCTTGTGTTTGGTCATCGCTCCAACGATAAGCGGGCACACCATGCCTGACAAGGTTCCTACGCCATTAGAGATCCCCATCAGAATACTGGCATATCGGGGAGCGATGTCTAAGTGATTCACATTAAATCCTGGAAGTGGGAGCAGGTAAAAAGGAATTCATGTCACACACAACCCCAGATGCAGTGGTCATATACACACCATAGATTTTATTGGTGTTGCTAACTGGGGCACTCTGGGGTTGTAGCCAAAAATAAGCCCCTTTCACAAGTTCTGTTCCTGGGTGCCGCATCCATGACATATTGGCTTCTTAGCCTCACTCTTCCAAAAAATTCCAGATTACAAGATAAGAATTTTGTTACTTCTTTGGAGTACAGCACCCAGAATCCCCAGCCATCATGGCTGGCACTGCTGACTGGAAAATTCTGAGAGCTGTAATTCAGTGAAGGACTTTTATTTATTTTACAATATTTACAATATTTTTAGCCGCACCATGTCAAATGCTTTTCTGTAGGGATGGACCAGACTTCATTTACCTTTTTCCTTTAAAATAAGAATTTACCCAAATGTGTAAATTTATTCATATTTGAGATGAAATGAACATGTGGAATACAAATGTGGCCAAAGTCAAAATTTGTTGGAGGTCCACCCAGGCCAAGGGCTCTGAGAGGAGAATTTTTAAAAATCTGGCTTTGAATCCTCATGCATTCAGCCAAGGGCTTGACTGCACTCCTATTTTGGAGTGGGCTGGATCAGGCCAACTAGGAAGCCTGGTATGCCATGTGGTGCAGTCCTCACTCTGTGGAGGGGCTGAGGAAGTGATTTACTGGAGACACTGCTCTAGGAAGACCTTGTTCCTAAACTATTAGAGGAGAGCTTACCTGAAATAGCAAAGCCGCTGAAACCCACAGCCAGAACTAGGAAAGAAATGGCGACACCTTTGCTGTGAGAATAGCCCACCACTAAGAGTAGCGTGGCTTCCATACCAAACCCTGCCAAGAGAGACAAAGGGACATTGGGTATGCAGACACACAGGGTTGGCCTCAGATATTTTGTTGCTTGAGGTAAAATGGCAAATGTACAGGTCAGGGTTCATAGAACTTGAAGCCAGCTGAATCATTCAGGCCCCTGAGGTAGAAAATCCCACCAGCCTTTCTCTGACAGTGAAAATAAAACAAGACATTGAAGAATAGTTTCCTGGCCTGTCAAGGGACCCCTACATTTGCTCCCTGAGGCATCTGCCTCACCCTGCCTAAAAGTTCATTTCTGGTGCATGACCTCCACTACGTATGTCTGTTTTACACTGCTAAAGAACTAGAGCATGGCATACATTAAATATACATGTATTTCTGTGTAAAGCTGAAGAGCGTTTCTACCTCAGTAGGAGAAATCATAGTTTGCATGTAGAAAATTGTAGACTCACTCCCTGCCATTTCCAAATAGAACCAGGGCAAAACACTGTCAGCTCGGGGTAATAGACGTGGGATCCTTGCTTTTTTTCCAGACTACACCCCCAAAAGTCTGCAGGAATTCGCATAAACAAACAAACAAACAAACAAACAAACAAACAAACAAACAAACAATCCCAGTATTTTCCAATCTGTAATTATTTTCATCTGAGAAATAATGGTTTCTCTCAGACATGATAAATAAAAAGGAAGAGACTAGATAAGTCTATGCTCTTTGTGAATTACAAGGCATTATAGGTCTGGTAATTTCCTAACAGGCATGCTGGATGGAACATTTGTTAGGGACACTACCAGACCCATAATGCCTTGCCGTTCTTCATCATGTTTCATAATTTCTCAGCTGAAAGTGACTTCAGATGAAAAAAATAATTAAATTGGTTTGAGTTTATTTTTGCTGAAGCCTCCAAATGTCTGGCTGGAGGAATTCCTGCAGCGTTCTGGAAGGTGTAGTTCATGAATTCCAGAAATCTCATGTCTACCAAGGGAGCTGCTTCCAGACAATGTTAACAAGAAAATGCTAGCAGAATGAGTGGTCTGACCCAGATACCATACCATGACAAGTCATGGAATTATTTGATGAAATCTGTCTTTTTAGGGCTTGGGGGAGAGGAAGAGAATCCACTTTTGGAAACAAGCCATACATTGGTAATTAGCCACAAAATTCTCAATGCAAATACATGGATGCAGCTGCCTTATAAACATTTGTTCAAATCATGGTTTGTTCTGATCTCTGAAGCCATATAGTGGCTTGTGATTAGGTTTTTTTTCCTCCCAGCTGCCCACCTGTGAACAGCTGCCAAAGGAGGAGATGGAAATAAACAAACAAAAACAGGGAACACAAAATATTTGTTTGTTCAACTGCTATGCAATGACTTAAGCAACAAACTATGCTTGACACAAACCATGGTTTACTGTGATGTGGGAACATATCCAGTAAATGGCAACTTTTCACATTCTTGCCATTTGCTAATGGAACAGGAAGAGTGGTGTCAGTTTGGGGCTATACACCACCAGCAGGGCACATGTGCAAAAGCTACAGATTCAATTCTCAGTATCTACAAAGTATTTTATGTGTCATCCATCAGGCAAAAGGGCTTTCTTCTTTTTTAGGGAAGCTTTTAAAACCTTTTAAGCCATTCTGGAAGCTGAGTTTTATTAATTTGTGGTGTTTTATTGATTGTGCTTATATTTGCTGCTTTACTGTGTGGTGTGCTATTGTTCGATCTGACTGCGGAGTATGCTATTTTAATTTTTTTTTTTTAGCAGAAGCTGTCCTCAGAACTCAGATGCACTCAGGATAAAGGTTTAACAAATGAACAAAGGAAAATAAAAATACACAACCCAAATCATTGGCTAAAAGTGTTTGGAGTAAGAAGAGGCAGGAAATAGCTTCTGCTTAAGACATAAGAAATTTATTTGTCATTGCACTCACAAGTGGGTGCAACGAAATAAGGTGCTCTTCCCCAAGGTAAAACTGGACAACACCACTACAAAAAAAAAGTTAAAATATACACAACCCTCACCATACAAATATAGATACCCTGTTTCTCCCAGCAATTAAAATTCCACCAAAAACTTATGACCCTGCATTTAAACTCAATACTGCACTTGGGTAGAAGCTGTTCTTGAATCTACTTGTCCTTGCTTTCAATACCCTGAATCTCCTTCTCGATGGTAATAATTTAAAGAGCTGAAGTCCCGGAGGAGTCTTTCAGTATGTTAGATATCTTCCTCTTACATCTGTTCTGATACAATTCTTCCATAGAGAGGAGTGAACAGCCAATGATGTTTTGGGCTGTCTTAATCACCCTTTGAATTGCCTTTTTCTCTGCCACTGTGCAGCTCGTAAACCATACACAAAGACAGTAGGATAATATGCTCTCAATCAAACTCCGATAAAAGGTGGTTAACAAACTCTCAGTCAATTGTTGTTTTCTAAGAATCCTTAGAAAATACAACCGTTGTTGCGCCTTCCTGATTAACGCAGCGGTGTTTGCACTCCAAGTCAGGTCATTTGTTATGATGGTCCCAAGAAACTTAAATTCATCTATATACAGTGGCTGAATGTCTGCTCTTTTTTTCCTATAGTCCACTATACAAACTTTGTACAAACTGGTGCTCTTCAGGTGTGATGTGCTGGAATTTCATTCATACCTTTTGCTTGCTGGGCTCATAGGAGTGGTACCCCAAACATCTGGAGGGCATAAGGTTAAATAAAGATGTGGCCTTTGGGAAATACTATCATTCTAAGTTGAGAGAGCCCTGGGATTGGGTGTGGGTCAGAAACAGACATTACAGATGAAATAAGAAACAGAAAACCTTTAGTGCTGATTGTGTGTGACTGTCACAGCAGGATTTACTTTCACCTACTATGACCTTCAAATTGCCTGTTTTGTTTGTGACTGGACACAGGAGTGTCAGAGAGCCTTTGATGCTTTGAAAGCAAAAATTGTTTCTGCTCCTATTTTGAAATCATCTGATTTTGACAGGCCTTTTATCTTTCAGACTGATGCTGCTGATTGGGGATTAGGAGCTGTGTTGTTGCAAGAAGGGGATGTTGGGATTTGTTATCCTATTTCTTATTTCAGTAAGAAGTTATTGACCCATGAAAGAAGTTACTCTGTACCTGAAAAAGCACCCTATTCTGTTGTCTGGACACATCAGCATTTATGCCCTTACCTATGGGGCACAGGTTTATTCTGCAGACTGACCATCATGCATTAGTCTGGTTACAAAATATGAGATCTCGTAACTAAAAGTTGTTGCGTTGGAGGATTTTGATTTTGAGTTTCAGCACACTCCTGGGAAGCTGAATGTTGTCGCAGACAGCCTGTCCAGGATGCATTGTGGAATTTCAGATGTGGCAGATGGCTGAAGAAATGTTCTCTGATTCAATGGTTCCTGAGCATAACCAGAGTGTAATTCTGTTTTACTACTAACATGACTGTTTTCTATTTTCCAGACTTCTAGAAGTGCTTAACTCCAGAATTCTATATTCAGTTGCTGCTGATAGAACTTTCTCTACTTCATGCTTGCTAGTTAAAATGCATAATTAAAAATTGCCATTTATTTCATTGTATAACTTTAACACAGAGTTAGTGAAATTACTAGGCCAAAGTATGTAACCTAGCTTTTGTTTAGTCAAAAATGCAGGCTCATATGTAACCTTGTATTTTTGAAATTTAAGGGGCGGTGTGCGATGGAGTTGAAGCAGTGTGGGATATGTAGTCAGAGAAATGTAAGATGGAGTCAGATAGGTTCTGTGTGGAGATGATGTGAGAGACATTGGAAAGTGTTTATCTAAGTGCTATGAGAGTGTTTTTCTGAAGTCTGGTATAGCGTGGTTCGAGATAAAGCTGACGGTCAGACAAAGAGGCCCATGAAAGACTCAGCATTCTGAGCTAATTGGAGAAGAGATAAAACACCTGGACTTTCATGGGAATTGAGGGCAGAGGAAGGTGTTACAGCCCCTTGAGGCTAATTGGTTAATAGCCACGAAGTGTCAAGAAGAAGGGAAGAGTTAGAGAATGTAGAAAATGGACAATGGGTTATGTGGGAGCGGTTTGATTCTATGATGATGGGAGAGAAAAAGAACTTGATGGTTTGAGCATATAGCTTGAAGGAGAAAGAATGTAAGTAAAGAGAAAGAAGGAGGTGGGGCTAGCCCACCTTAGCCCAGCTTAGTAGTGTTTTTTATTTTAATGGGGATTAGTTATTTTGTTTAACTGTAACAATCTTCGAATATGTTCTTTATGCTCAAGCTTGAGCAATATAAACTGATACTATAAAACTCTATTTTTCTAATAAAACATAATTTTAAAAATTCTTACAAAAGGACTGGTCTCTTGAACAGCAGGGTCTGGCTAAATCCAGGAGGTGGAGAGGGCCACAAACTAGCTATGTTTAAGAGTCTTACCTAACTGAGCTGTTGTGAGTTCTAAGGAATCACAAAGCCCATGTGCCTGTACTTGCAAAGTACTAGGTAAAAGTAAAGTGTTCTTTTAAGGTCAGACTTGCTCAAGGGGCTTACACTATGCACTGCTGAGGTCTTGGGACTTGCCTCAGCACAAAGGTGGTAGGTAAGTGGCCTGTTGAACTCTCTGATCGAGTGCTAAGTGCTCCTTAGGGAGGCTTGGGCACCACAGGTGGTACGGACCACCAGACACTACCTGGGACTCCATGGTAGGCGCTGGGTCAAGATGGACCCCTAAGCTGTGGACCACACTCTTTGTGGTGAGAGTCAGCCCCCCAAAACACTGATAGGAGGGGCGCCCATCTAGAGATGATCCCAGAGACGGTACATGCTGGAAATGAAACAACATGGAACAAACCGACCCACACCAAAAAAAGACCCAGAAGGATGTGGATAGGAACACTCTGGGGACAGCTGGTTTGCTCTACCAATGACATGATTTGATTCCTGGAAAAAAGGAGCAAACCAGACTGTCCCCACAGCAGACTGCCCATCTGATCACATCTTAAGGCTGATGTGAATTAAGGGTGTATCTGCATTTGGTAATCAACCTAAAATATAAGTGAATTCAAGGCATTTGCAACAGGAAAATGACTTTATACTACAACCTCCATCATCCTTGACTATCAGCCATGCTGGCTAGGGCTGGTAGATATTAGGATGAGCTCCACCTCTGTTTTAAAAGGTGAGGTAGGTGTGTTCGTTCTTGCTCATGCTGATTTCTGGAACCTGACTGAGCCCAAGACCTTTGCCCTGACCTACCCCCCACCTTACCTCCACAGTTCATCATTTTGCGGACATTTGTGGTGGTCATGAGCCTCCGTGATCGCAGGAAGTCAGCAATTTGGCCTCCGATGGGTACGATGATGGTCATGACCAGGTGGGGCAAAGCTGAAAGCATACCCACCTGTAGGCAAGATGATAGAAAGAAATTTAGTAGCATCGAGTTATAGGCAATTCTTGAAAGCCATATAGCAAATCCATCTGTCACTGTTCAAGAAAGAAACCATAGGAGAGACAAACATGGTTTCACCCCTTTTATTTGTTTCAATGTATGTTTAAACTTTTATATAATTACTTTAAACAAATCCGCTTCCAAAAAGGATGTTCCTAATGACAGAGGTAATAGTAAGAGTGGTATTAGTAACAACAATAAGAGCAGGAGTAGTAAGTGTGGTAACAGTCATAGTTAAGCGCAATAGACTTAGGGAGTGGCCATATTGATAAAAAGTGCAGGGAAATACTGTGGGTCTGGGACAGACTGATTCACATTTTCCCCATTGATCACACAATGCAAAGGGAAATGTGAATCAGCCTGGAGTCTCTCCCTCTGAAATCCATAGTCTCTCGCCCCCCCCCCCACCACTAGAGCTTCTACTTTGATGGATCCATTCACTTCATTTCAGATATATGCTTGCTTGAACCGATGCAGAAAAGGGAGGATGAGTCCCACACAAAGTTGTGCTTTGCTGGAGCACCTTCCCTCTCACTTTGTGAGGGAGAACAATCTGCCCCCCTCCCTTGCTATCCTGCAAAATCTCTCTCTATAGGCAAGACTCTTCATTTTTATGGTTTCCCCTTCATGATCAAGACTCCTGGGTTTTTTTCTGTTCTGTTTTTTTGTTTTGTTTTACAGCTCAAATGGACCTTTTCTCCATAGTTAAGCGTTTCCTGCTTTTTTAAGATAACAAGATGAGAAAATTGAGCAGAATGAAAGCTTTTATCACAGATTGTTAAGGCAGTTCTTCATAAGAGGGCTACCTGCAGGGCAACAGGCAGAATTGCAAGCAGGCTGCAAGCAAGACTTTCCTTCCATCTCTCTGTTCTACCATTTAGATCCAAATTCCCTGGTGCAACTTCACAGTGAGTGAAAGTGAGTGAATTTCCATTTCCCTCACCATGTAGTTGCACCTTCAGTGTAGTACCAACAGTAGTATTAAGTGAAGTAGTAAAAATAATGATAGTATCCGCAAGGTGAGCCTGACAAAGCTGATAGAAAGCATTTTAGGCCACCTCTGGCTTCTATATACCAAAGGAGAGTGCCAGATCTATATATCAGGGCTGACCCTGGTTACTTTGATGCCTGAAGCAGAGGACACGTACCTCAAACCCATGTATATAAAAACCACAAAGAATGACGGCTGCTTGCTTGCTCCCCAGCATATGTTGCCTGATGTAACTATCTTATTTTTCTAGTTATAGGCATAACATCCACTCCCCACAAGTTCTTCATTCTACTTTGTTTAAGTTTTTGGAATATTGACATAAGGTTCTGCCCATTAGTAAGATTTTACTTTTTCTTCTTATTTAAAGTCTAAACCTCCACATTTAGGATTCTTGTGTCTACTAGTCTATTCCACTTTTTGAGCCCCACTTTAAAAACGTATTTCTTACTCTTTGAACACTCAAACAGATGAACACTCTACACCTACCGTTTATGAGGCACTTATATTTCCCACAAATCTGTCAAGGCACAGTGCAATACACAATACGGATGCACACCGCTCGTTTCTTGGTCCAAAGCCATCTGAGCACCCACTCACCGTAAAGACCCGTTTCTCACCTTACTGATTTCAAAGCCAAAGACCTCTTCAAAATAGGCCGGCTGGCTAATTAAGAGCAAATAGAACGTCCAGCTCCGACAAAAGTTGGCCACAATGATGGCATAAACAGGCATGCTTGTGAAGAACTTGCGCCAGGGTGTTTTGAATTTCTGACAAGATGGAGGAAAGACATATGAAACATCAAATGAGCAGCCTCTTGTTCTTAGACTGCCCTGTTTTTTCCAGAGAATTCCAGAGAACCTGCGTTTCTTCCAAACTGCACCCTATTCAGGTGCTATGGGGTTTCTAGTGACAGCCTCCTGGCATTCCAACTTCTACTCCATTACATTTTGGCACTAAAATTCCCGTATTTCCCAGCCTGGTTTAAAAAAAACCCTGTCAAAATGTGTATTTTGAGAGAAAACATGCTTAGACACGCTTTAAAAAATAGCACGGGGTGGGGGACAGACTAACACAGCTGCCTCCCGAAAATTATTTTAAGAAAATACATTTTAAAATACCTATTCAAATGTGAGTATTCACATTTGTTGCTTAATTTTATATAACTCGCAGTCCAGTTGACAAATGGACCGAAACGGATTTGTTTGAGAAGATACGTGAAAATAACAAGGTTAAAAAATGGACTATTTTGTCCATGCTATCCCTCCACAGAGCTATACTCAAAGCCTATTCTTTCCCTGTTGAGGGAAGATGCCCTCATCTTCCTCCATTATCTGGTCATAATTAACTGCAACCCTGTGCAGCACCATCCGCACAATTAGAGGGAAGTGCCTCCTAGAACTAGACAGGATAGCTGCTACTTCCTCCATGTATGTGGCCGTGAGTCTGAAGAGGAGAGGTTCCTGCTCATGTGTAGGCTCTACATCCAAAGAAGAGCAACAGATTTCCCAGACTTTGTGCTCCCATGGAGAACACATGTCCAGGATCCACTCGTCTTCAAACTCCTTGTCTCCCACTTCCAGAAAGGGACCATTGAAGGGGAGGGACAAGGGTACATGTTCCCATACACTAACACGGGTACAGGGCCCCTCTGTCTCCATGTCAGATTTCAATTCATAAGTTCATAAAAAGGTAAAGGTAAAGGTTCCCCTTGACAATTTTTGTCCAGTCGTGTCCGACTTTAGGGGGCGGCGCTCATCCCGCTCTTCAAGCCATAGAGCCAGCGTTTGTCCGAAGACAATCTTTCTGTGGTCACATGGCCAGTGTGATTTAGACACGGAATGCTGTTTACCTTCCCACTGAAGTGGTCCCTATTTATCTACTCGCACTAACACGGGTGCAGGGCCCCTCTGTCTTCATGTCAGATTTCAACTCATAAGTTCATAGGATCATAGAATAATGAAGTTGGAAAGGGCCTATAAGGCTGTCAAATCCAACCCTCTGCTCAATGCAGGAATACAAATTGCTTGGGGCAGAGCCTTTTCTTTCTGTATTAATAAGCTTTCACCCATCATATTGAATGTGTTACACCAGCCTTCCCCAAGATGGTGACCTCCAGATGTGTTTGGCTGCAATTTCCATAATTGATAGCCGACATGCCTGGTCATGCTGGTTATGGACAGTGAAAATTATAAGGCTGTCAAATCCAACCCTCTGCTCAATGCAGGAATACAAATTGCTTGGGGCAGAGCCTTTTCTTTCTGTATTAATAAGCTTTCACCCATCATATTGAATGTGTCACACCAGCCTTCCCCAAGCTGGTGCCCTCCAGATGTGTTTGGCTATAATTTCTATAATTGATAGCCAACATGGCTGGTCATGCTGGTTATGGACAGTGAAAATTATAGTTGAGCCCATCCATAGAGCATCAGTTTGAGGGAAGCTGCACTAGGCAAATAATCCATGATTAAAGAGTAAGATACTGACCATTGAATGTGTCACACCAGCCTTCCCCAAGCTGGTGCCCTCCAGATGTGTTTGGCTATAATTTCTATAATTGATAGCCAACATGGCTGGTCATGCTGGTTATGGACAGTGAAAATTATAGTTGAGCCCATCCATAGAGCATCAGTTTGAGGGAAGCTGCACTAGGCAAATAATCCATGATTAAAGAGTAAGATACTGACCTGGAGGGGATTCATAAGACTGGAACTTTCTCCGATACTTTCTTCTATGTACTTCCTCTCTTCTTCTGAGATGGTCGGATGTTGTGCAGGACTCTCGTAGGAAACCAGCAACCAGAATATGTACCAGAAGATACCAAAGCTGCCTAGCAAGGGACAGAACAGCAGAATGATGATGATGATGATGTTAGAACTGCAAAGCTGGAAGGGACCTATGGATCCAGCCCGTCAAGGAGGCACAACTCCCAATGTCTGGCTCTGCGGCCCTAACCCTAAACCAGTGAGCTAGGATAAGCTTTTCCAAACCCTGTTCTGATCCAGCAGGGCTTGGAAAATGGACACCAAATAAAGGTGATTTGGTCCTGCCCTTTTTCCTTTTTCCATGTGCACTTGGTCTTGCTCACTGTTGGAGGGAGGGCCCTGAAACTTTCCTTTTAAAAAAAGAGGAGCCCCCTTTTCCTATGATAAATCATAGGTTAGGAATCTAGCCCTTCACATTTTGAACTACAAATCCCAACATTCTTGACCATTGGCCATGCTGACCAGGACTTCTGTGAGCTGCAGTCCAAAACATTTGAAGGGCAGAAATGCTTCAACCTTGCAATAAACCAAAACCTGTTTTGTTTTTTGTCTCCAATCCACTTACCATAGACATAGAATACAGAGCTCCACCCGGAATATTGGACTAGAATGCCAGCAAGAGGCATGGCTACCACGGCCCCTGCATAGGATCCTGTAGAGATACAAAGGAAGAAGTTAGCCAAGGATGCAAGGTGGGACTTCTAGCTTCTCACAACAGCCTGCGCTCTAATTTGAGGGATGCTTCCAAACTGGCTGCTTACTCTGGATTTGTCATCCACTGTTACAGCTGTTTCACAGGAAAGAGAAAGATAATAAAAGGAAAAAGAAGAAGGGGAAAAAAATAAAAAAACAAAGAGAAAGATAATAAAAGGAAAAAGAAGAAGGGAAAACAAATTTTTTTTTAAAAAACCCGCTTTTCCATACAGAACAGGAACTGATGAATCATGGGGCAATCACGGGGCAATTCATCAATTGTACAGGTCATGCTGAACACAAAACAATGAACGGAGCAGAATTTATTGAGAGCAAACTACTAGTTAACATTGCCGAAAACAAAACAAAAAATAAAAGACCCTGCTTTTCCACACAGAACAGGAACTGATGAATCATGGGGCAATCACGGGGCAATTCATCAATTGTACAGGTCATGCTGAATACAAAACAATGAACGGAGCAGAATTTATTGAGAGCAAACTACTAGTTAACATTGCAACAGACTTTTCCTAACAGAATGTATCATTTCAAAGTAAACATGATAAACATCTTGGCCTCTGAGATGCATGTTGCTATACAATATTGCATAACAGTAAATGCTATGTGGCACCACTGTTTTAATTGTGCTCCAGTCTGTGGGAAAGCAATGCCTCAGCAGCTTTAAATAGGCATAGTGTGAAAGCAATATAAGAAGACATGTTCATTATTTTTGACGAGCTGCTCCTGCGAACACTGCCACATAGGCTCAGATTATGAGCTGAAGCTTAGTTTAACTCACATTTTTGAGGATGATTGGTCTAGACTTTAAAATAGGTTCTGGGACTTCTAGGGAAGGCTCTCCCAACTTGCTGTCCTACACATGTTCACTGTGGATGCTGGGACATCTACTCCATCACATATGTCTGGAATCAGGCTGGAGAAGGATGTTCTAAGCAGAGCTTAGAATGTTATCATTTAAAAAGGAATACATTGGGTGTCATTTTTTGTCTTTTTTTCCAAGTGTTATATTAGTCTTTGCTCTTCACCTTAAGAGTGAGGTGTTAGGAATACATTACTATTCAGTTACTTTAGTTAAATGTTTGTATATTCAAAATATTTCGATTTAAAGTGATAATCCTTAAAAGTTAGGAAAATGGCCAAAAATGGCCAAAAATGCCTCATCAACCTGGAAAAAATGTTTAGAAGTTGTTGGTATCGTCATTGTAAATATTAGTATTCACAGTAAAAAAAATAGCTGCAGTATATTATCTGTCATTGTGTTACTTTTAAAAAGTAACAAGGTTGATAAACGTTCTTAACTAAAATGTTATATGTTGTAGGTAATTAGGTTAGTTTGTAAGACGTTACTTCCAAGTTGTGGAAATAATTGCTTGTGTTCAGCAGCAGTCAGCATGCCAGAAACCAAGGTTATTTTGTAAGAAGTTACCGGTACTTCCAAGTTGTGGAAATAATTGCTTATGTTCAGCAGCAGTCAGCATGCCAGAAACCAATAGATATTATGTTCAAAACATCAAGAATAAAATAAAATAAAATAGATGTATATTTGTGGGAATGGACCTCCACATCCTTCCTGCCAACATAATTCCGTTGATTAGGTTACCTTACCACAGAAGGCCGTTGTGGCCAGCCGGCTGCGTTCCAAGGGCGGCGCCCATTTGCTCCAGATCCCATGGCAGGCTGGGTATGTGACCCCCTGTGGGAGAAGTAGGGGCAGAGAGAATAACATGAAGAGCAGAGCTAACTCCCTCCCACAAGTGGCCAGCCTGGCCCCATGTTTGCAGTCCTTCCTCAAGCAGGTAAAGGCCTTTCTCTTCAGGCAGGCTTTCCCCTTGCGACTGTCTGCAATTCCTGCGACGTCACTGAAACCAGTTGTATTGGCTCTTGCCTTTCCATTGGACTATTTCAGTGATGCGGAGAGGGGGGATCTGCTGCTTGGGTAACAGCCTATCCTCCATATTATTTTACCCAGGCTTTGTGCCTTGGAGAGGACACTCCAGCTTCGCGTACAGCGTCAAAACACTAGACACTGTTCCAAGTCCTCCATATAGAGCACGTTACCATAGTCTCTTGAGACTGAAGAATGCCTATGAGTGTCTGCAATAATTTGTATTTCGTTACTTCGGGCTCTGTTTTGCTGGTGCTTTTGCCTAACTTTTTTTTAGTGTAGTATTGTTGATTCTTTTTCGAAATTTGAATGGTTTTCTGTGTTTTTTGATGATGTAAGCCACCTTAGATTCTTTTTGGGAGAGAGGCAGGGTAAAAAGTATTTTAAAGTAAGTAAGAAAGAAACCATTCTAATAATAATCCAGCTTTTAACACCAGCAACAGGATAGAGTTCTCCACCACACTTGGGAAGTGAGGAAGCAACCTTGCTTAGGAAGCTCAGGGCAAGCCCTGCGACCCACACAGGTCTCTTCTGCAACACCTCAACATTTCTCCCTACCTCTGAGCATCTCCTGAGTAGAAGTAGCTGCTCCGTTGCTAAAGGTAGGGCAGCTCTGAAGGTGGTGGGTTCCGAGTGGGAAGCAGCACATACAAGGTAGGTGGGCCAGGGAGAAAGCATGTACACAAGTCTTACCTCCACCAACCCTTGCAGGATCCGCACAAAGATAACGCAGCCAAAGTGGATCCGAGCAGCCGATGGGATGAGCATGTTCAGCGTGGATGTTGCCACAATGGCAAAACCAAAAACCCTGAGACCAAAAGGTGGGTGTTAATAGAAGTCACATAAAGTAAAGTAAAATATAATAAAAGGCTTTTTTCCTTTGTGCCTCATCACTCTTTTTTGTTCACCATGAGGTTTTTGTTCTACATTTTCTCTAAGACGTGTAAATGGCAGACCTACTCCCAGAGACTGGAAGTCTTTCTATGCCCAGGGAGCAACAGTCCAAAAAAGTGATGTTTCTGAGCTCTGAATAACAGGATATTAATGTACTGCTAGATAGCTCAGTGGTTCAGGTGAGCCAGAGGTTGGGAGTTTGATTCTCCCCTGGAGCTCCTTGCCCGAGGCTGCACTTGATTATCCATAGGGTCCCTTCCAGCTCTGCAGTTGTAAGAAGATGATAAGAAAATGATATCTCACAGCCACATGCTCTCCGCCATCTCATGTAGGACAGCATTCTACACTGGTCCCAAAGCCAGCAAGTGGACAGCAGCTTACAGGCCACAAGTCATCTAGACCTGGTCATCTAGAACTCTAGATACATATCCAATATACATAAAATATACACCTCATGTGTGTGTGTGTACTGGTAGGTAGGTAGGTAGGTAGGTAGGTAGGCAGGTAGGTAGGTAGGTAGGGTGGCTGGCTGGCTGGCTGGCTGGCTGGCTGGCTGGCAGGCAGGCAGGCAGGCAGGCAGGCAGGCAGGCAGGCAGATAGATAGATAGATAGATAGATAGATAGATAGATAGATAGATAGATAGATAGATAGATAGATAGATAGAAGAACCTTTCAAAAAACCTGAATCCTATTCATGGTAGCTGCAAAGCCAACCTGAAGACCCCATCACTATTTACATGAAGGGTGAGGAACATGTGCATCCCACCCACTCTTAGGCTCTTGGGCTAAAAATTCCCATCCCTGATTTACAGACCCACATATCAACTTACAGTGCAAAGAACAAGCTCCTTAGTTTTTACCTGTTAGCAGCAAATTTCTGTGCTATGAAGCCCCCTGGAATCTGAGTGACAATGTAACCCCAGAAGAAAGACCCATGGATCATGCCCACTGTCTCTGGATCCCAGTTGAACTCAGCTTTCTGGAGAGGAATATAAACCAACCATACGTTTAGCTTGTTTTAATTACAGTTTAAACTCATAGAGTAGAAGAATGAGCTGCTAGCCATCTCTCAGGTGAGATTTTTTTTAAGGATATAAAGCCACCGCACTGGGAATTATACAAACAGAACTCTTGGAGAGCAGCTCTCATTAGCCCCTGCCAGCATGGCCAATAACCAGAGATACTGGGAGTTGTGGGCCAACCATGTACTGATGGCCACTGGTTTCCCACCCAGATTACAGGCATAGTTCCTCTGCCTTCCAACAGGCAGCATTTCAACAGGTGATTCTTCCTTCCTTCTCTGTGTCAGTCAACATTTCCACCACTTCAACTGATGCCTGTTGCACACCTATTAGAAGGCAGGGGGAATCTCTCTGTAACCTACAGGATCAAAGCCAAGCCCACTAGAAGACAGATGGTCTCACCTTCATCACGAGTTTGTCCCCCTCGTAAACAGTGTTATTGTTGACCATGCTGACAATGGCCACGCCCAGGTTGCACCGGATGCCAAAGCTGATGCAAAAGCCCAAGCCACAGAGGATAGCGATGATGTAGCGGCGAGGGAGGCCGAAGCAAGTGCAGTCGACAACTGGTTGGTGCTTCTCAGACACCTCGATGGGCCGACCCTCTTCAGTCAGCTCAATAGTCTCCCCTCCTGGCTGTTTCTTTTCAAGGATCCTAGTAACGGAGGCAGTAGAATGAGCTGAGATGAGTATGACAGGTAGGAGGTGCTTAGGCTGATATTGTTGGAGGGTTTGTTTGTTTGTTTGTTGCTAAAAGCAGTCATGTTTGTCAGTTTGCTGTTTGATCTGTTGAATTGTAAGTAATGAAACCTTTTATTCTTTCTCTTACTAATGTCTCAGAGTGAATTAATGAGATTGTGACAGTTAATGAGAAACAGGGTCAGCCTGCTCTGGGGAATTTGAATTTGAAGCTATTCTGCTCTGCGAATCCCTGAACGTCCACTGCAGAGCTAGAAGAGTTTAACAGAAATCCAAAACTCAACAACAGATACTTGTCCAGAAAACAGAAACTGACCACTGATTCTCATTTTTTCTTCACAATCAGCTGTTGAGGTAGGCCATACAGAGAAATATAGCATGAAACTGGCTCTGTGCCATCAATGGAGCTTATTGTACATTTGTATATGTGCTTGAATCCAGGTCTCCCCACTCCTAATCTGAGACAAAGCTGCACAGTTCCAGGGGGCCACCAGAAGAAGGGCAGAGTAACACATTTCTGAGTACTCGATACCTAGAAAACCCTGAAAAGAGGCACCATGAGTAAGAATGGACTTAACAGCATATGATGATTAGTTGTATTAATGGAAACTTACCAGACTTTTAGGGACCAAGCACAGAAGTTGAGAAAAAGTCTGGTGACTCTTTGCTGTTAGGTTCGTAAGGCCAGCCTTCTTTCAGATGATGCCTTCTAGGTAGATGGGGTAGTATCACCTCACTGTTGGAGGGAAGTGACCTCCACCACCACCCCAATTCTTTTAAGCAAACCAGATCACTTGATTCTTGCTGTATGCAAGCAAGCAGGGCCCTGTGACCCCAAGAAGGGAGGCTGTGATGAGGGAAGAGGTTTTGGAGTGACCTGGAGTCCACCGGCCCACCCTCCCGTCTTCTTTCATCACCACCACTCCTTCCTGCTCTTACACATTGTCTCGTCAGCCTGGTGGGGAGGCGGCAGTGCCCACGCAGAAGCTGTTCCCATCGGAGCTGGCACAGATGGACTGTGAGCAAAATTTCGGCACCAGGCCCAGGAACTCCCCCTCTCCCTTAGCAACCGAGACAAAGGGGCTCTTTTCCAGAACCCCTTTTGATCACCCCCAAATCCCCTTGCTCCATATTTCTTCCTGCCCTTTCTCTAGGGTTGCTTTCTCTCCCACAGTGTCCCTGTGCCGTTCCCATATGCCAACTGGTTTCAGTGGGTGGGAAAAATGATATTAACAAGACATTCATATGAAGGAACATTTACAACAAATCAGGAGACAACCTTCAGAAAATCTCCAGTACTCCTATTTACCAATTACTCTTTATGTCTGCCACACAAAGACTGTTTCTAGAAGGAACTGCGAGGGACATGATTTGGGGTACATATATCATAAGACAGGGCTGGAGATTTCCTTATTCCAGAACTTAGATAGGATATCTTCTTTTTTGCACTACAATTCCCAGAATCCCTCAACCAGCTTGGCCATAGGATTCTGAGAGCTTTAGTCAGAAAGCAGCATTTCTAAAAGCTCTGCTCTTAACCCCAGAATTTAGGAACTGGAATTCCCCATTGTGACGTTCACCTTTATGAAGCACCTACTTTTTGTGCCCTCACAAAGGTTGCGGTCTTTATTTCCCTCACTGCCACCAGTGGATTACCTCTGTCCACAATATAAAAGACGTTTGTCCAAACACTTGACTGGTAACATAACTTATTTATTGAAGTGTAGCAAAGTTAATAATAATCACAGATGTCCTTCAGTTGTTCATTTAAACAAGCAATTCATTCACAGGTCTCTCTATACATACCGTATTTTTCCATGTATAAGACTATACTTTTGTCTAAAATCTTTAGACTAAAAATTGAGGGTCATCTTATACACAGAAGTAAGCTGAGAACAAAAACAAGTGGAGGGGAAAGCAGGGATCAAAACGATTCTGCAGCGCTTTTCTCCCTTTCCCCCTACAATTGCTAAGCCCCACTTAGATTTCTTAATTTTGGATTAGAAAAGTGGAGGGCGTCTTATACGCGGAAAAATACAGAACTTTCTTCTTGTCCTATGCAGTGGACCCTTGACTTACAGACGGCTTGACTTACAGACTTTTTGAGTTACAGACTTCTCTCGCCGCAAAATTTAGGTTTGACTTGCAGACTGAGATTTGACTTACAGACCAGAAAAAACCCAAAATGGAACAAAAACGGCCTGTTACAGGATTAATCGGTTTTCAATGCACTGTAGGTCAATGGAGACTTGACTTACAGACTTTTTGACTTGAGAACCGCCTTCCAATACGGATTAAGTTCTCAAGTCAAGACCCCACTGTAATTAATTACCATCTTCTCTATCTATTTATCTTAACCAGTCTCTAACTCAATCTCCATCTCTTCTGCCTCTGACTCTGACTAACTGTCACTGATTCACTCCTGTCTGACTCTTGACTGATTCAGGCTCTGCCTTTTAACCTCGCTCTCGGCTCCGCCTCTCCACCACATTTGCCTAGTACATGAATAATACATGACTTATTTTGCATAACAAGGGGTGAACGCTACACCCATTCCCAACAAAGCTCGTGTCAACTTGTACCCTGAATTCAATGAGTTTAACCTCTCAGCTCCGCCTCTCCATCACATTTGCCTAGTACATGAATAATACAAGACTTATTTTGCATAACAAGGGATGAACACTACACCTATTCCCAACAAAAGCTCATGTCAGAGTCAACTTGTACCCTGAATTCAGTGAGCAGCTAGAACTAGACAGTATGGTGACATGGAGATGAGGGTCTCTGACTAGGACTTTGAAGACCTAGATTCAGCTGCCCACGTAGTGAGAAACCCGGGTCACTCGCTGACCTCAGGCCAATCAATTTCTCACACTCTGATCAACTTCAGAGGGGTGTTGTGAGGAAGAGAGGAGGAGAGGCCTGTATGCCACCTTGGGAAAGACAGGAATACATCGTACAAAGAAATAAGGAGAGGCTCTTCCTCTTGCCTTTTGTTGTTGCTTACAATGGGCTGTGGAAGACCGAAAACACCAAGAGGGGAAATCAGCAGACTGAGAAATCTCCAGGGGTCAGCATGGGCCTTACAGGTGCCCAGTAACACTGACTCGTGATACCCCATGGCCTTTAATTTGAAGTCATTTAAAAACAAACACTGTGGTAAAGTTGGAATGTCAAGCAACCTCACCAGATTACTCATTTCCAACAATAATGGGCGGTCACAAAAAAAAACAAACCTGAGGCAATCTGTCAAGAATTTGTTAACCACCCACAAGGTTTCTTGCTCACAGTGCAAAGATGAGATAATAGCCATGATTTTTTCACTGAGGTTTCCAAAACTTGCAGAAAAGATCTCTGTGGAGTCCTGTTCTCTTAGAGAATCATGCATATAACACACACCCATACGATCATGACTTGTGGGGACCTTTTTGAGAGTTCCCCCCCCCAAAAGCACAGAGGGACTGGCTGATTGATCCAAAAGACACAAACAAAACATCCGATGCTTCAAATTTTTAAAAGTCCACATGACAAAGCCAGAATGACGATAACTGAGTTCAGTTCATGGGGTTCATACACCTTGTTCAATTTGCATAAAACCTATGCTCCCTAACATAAATACTGTCACTTAGATCCTAAGACAATATCTCACTGTTGTGTAAATAGGGAGAGAACCATTGGATTTCTCCTTGTGTGCCAGAACAAGAGAAGGGACGATTTCCATTCTCCTAAATCAATATAGTTTCTTCCTAGGAAGCAGATTGAGAGAAGCACTCAGCTCCTCCCAATTAGGGAGAGCGCCTTCTGCTGGTTAGGGCCATCACCCCATTCTCCCCAAGTCTTTAGCAACCTCTCTCTCTCTCTCTCATTCACAGACAAAGAGACAGACATACGTCCCTTGCCACCTCTGGACCTTTCCTGACTTTGGATATGATCCCTCTACTGCTGACGTCAGCTCAAGGCGGCGGAGCCGGCAGCTTAGGAAGGGAGGTTTTAAATATCCCTGGCTAAGCTGCCCACTGCCAGCAAGTTTGCAGTGACCTTGGGTGGTGCCATAAGCTTATCAAGCTCTGATTTCTTGCCTGGCTTCACCTTCATGCCACCAAATCTAGACACTCATCCCTGGGTGAGCAAAAAGAAAACCACAAACTATAGTGTGTAATACCAGACACTTCTAAGTGTGGGGAGGATGAGAAGGCTTCAGCCGGATTTCGTGCAACGAAGCCAAGGCGCTTGGATATTAACTCTTACATTGGATCTTAACTCTTACTTAACTCTTACATTTTGGATTAGAAATGTGGAGGGCGTCTTATACGCGGAAAAATACAGAACTTTCTTCTTGTCATATAATTAATTACCATTCTTTTTCATCTTTGACTGGCAGAGTTTAGTGGCTTGTTTAGACTTTCAAGCATGATGCTTTCCTATCCTTCCGTGAAGGTCCGAAGTATTTCCTGGTGGTCTTCTTTCCAAACACCAACCAGGCCTGACCCTCCTGAAATCAGACAGGGTTGGATATGTTTGGAGGCAGGGATATGAATTGTGCAACATATAATGAGAAACTGAGGGGGGAGAGAAAATGCCTCTTTATTCCCTTGCAGGGAAATTTCTCTGTTCAAAGGATGTTTTATTTTCCCCATTCGAGAAATCTTGTAGGAAATCTTCCAAGATTTCTTAGATATTTTGAAGAAACAACCATCTGCACAGAATTATTACAATTCTGGCATCTTTCTTGCCATTTCCTTGCACGGAATTTAGCCGTTTCTTGCAGAAAAAAAAATCCAGGAAAAAAATGTGGAAAAAATAAGCGCGGGTGGGAGAAGACAACGGTTTTGTTTTAGTAAAAGAAAACCTTGCTGTAGAAGAAAACCTTGGCAGGGTGAGGCTCAGAAAATCACGGAGAAGGACACATTTTTCAAACACTCTCCACACTCCTGGTTTAGAGGTTATAGGACAGGC